TTTTTTCTGTTAATGTACAAATATTTTTCCGATGTGTTTTGGATATTCCTTCTCTAATAAAAAGAGATACCATTTTGTTTTCGTTTGCATAAGAAAGAATATCAAGCATTTTTCTTTTTTAAATTTAATTAGCCACAATAAAGAAGGAACGTTGCAATGCTACGTGCTACATTAACGACGCCTCTAGAGTAACTGAATGACTGTTCATATAGAAATCGCAGGTATTAGTCTCATACAACAACGCCCCCTATAGTTCGTTGCGATAGCGAATAGTCTTTGATCTAGTTAGTTTTTATTTTAAGCACGTGACTTAACACAAAATTATATATTTGTTTTGCAATTTGTAACACGTTTTCCATAAGCTTTTTACAAAAGAAGTTCAAAATTTCAGTATTTCTCAGGTACGTCTACAATATCATTTATTTTGTATAGTTCATGAGATAATTTCAGTTATATTTGCTTAGAATTATTTATATGAAAATGATTTATTGAAAATACAATGTTTGCCTAGATTAGATTTGTTGCAATTTTTGCATCGCAGAAATAACCTGACTAAGCATAATAAAAAATCCAATGTGCCGTCATTTTTCTTCTTTTTTTTAAAAATGTTTGGTACGTTACTGCTGAATTTGAAATTTAATGCAGTGCAAGAAAATTTTTACTTATTTGATAAAAATTACAATACTAATAAATCTTTTTTTCAAACGCTGAAAGTTATTGCTGCCATGTTATCAACATCTTTAAGAGTGCTCTAGGGGGAAATTTCCACATTGTGATCTGTGAAAGAATAATCGCCAAGTCTTGACGATATAATTTCAAAATATATATATTATTAATTTGAAAAGAACTGTTTGGACTTTTAAACAAACAAATAGCTTAAATGTTTTTTTTAAAAAAAAACATTTAACTTCCTTGAAAAACGCCAATTTGGCGAAATATTTCCCTTGGGGAAAAATATACTTGAGGGTGCCAATTGGCGAAATTGGCGACTTATGTTTGGCGCCATACTTGTTTGCCCGGAATGTCGTGGTAACCCACAAACAGGACATTTATATCTATTACTAATTAAACCTTCATTCATACACCAGTCAATCACTGTCTTTTTTTTCATTGTTATTAAAATCGTACAGAAACTTAAGATTTATCTTATTGACAGTATTCATTTTTAGTACCAGAAGCAAAAATAACCTTACCAGCCGGTATCCAATGTAGAACTAACGAATCTCTGAAATTACATTTAAAAATTCATTTAAAAACAACGCTAAATTCTAAACTAATCAGAATCACGATTAAAATCTAAACCAATCAGAATCACGATTGGTTTTCAACAACGCCCAGCTTGGTGATCAATCGCGATCACAACTTGGCGGGGGCACCCTCAAGTATAGTCTACCCTTTCCCCTGTATGAAAATTATTAAAATCTCAAATTTTGCTAATTTTTATGAGCCCAAACAAGGCAGCGTTGGAGTAACTTTACTAGCATTGAAAAATAAAATCATAAACGTTGTTTTTTTCCAAACTGCTTTCAAGCTTCTTCTTTGTCATTTTTCGCCAATTTAATACTTAACGTTAAAAACGGTGGCTAAATACGTACAAAACAGTAATGAATAGTTCTTGCAAATTCAAATCAAGCATAAAAATAGCATACTTTTTCCTGTAATTTTATGTGACCATAGAACCTTAGAAGAACATCCTTGAAAACAAGATCATTGTTATTTTTTTCCTTGTGTGGAAAAAAATTTGATTTCTCTTTTGTTCATTTTTGGAATACCACAATTTCTAAGTTGGTAATAAAGTGTTTCTGTGTATTGTGCTCATACTAAGATAAAATTTTAGTAAACGTATAAAGTACTTAAATGAAATAAACTCAGCTAAATACTTTGGAAACTTTTAAAGAACTAAATGCTGAGCTCTGGTAAAGTTGTAAGTACTTTGGAAACTAGTGAAGTATAAATCTGAAAACAATACCAATGAGTAGTTTGATCTAAAAATGATACTCCTGGCAAAATTATTACTTGTTACTATTATTCAAATTTCCTTCCTGTGTATACTTCATTTGTATTTTTTGGTTAGTCCAACGCAAGCGAAAAGTCGCCAAAAAATGTAGACCTTCACCAATCCTTTCAAAAACATTTTCTATTTTATTTATTTTTCTTAAATATATAAAAATTAAAAAAAAAATTTTAAATTTTTTTTTCAATGAAATGAGAAAATAAATAAGAAAAAAAAATTAAATAAGATGAAGAAAAAAAAATAGCTGAAACCCAGCTAACCTAATATTGATAATAATACCCTTTATTTTGTACATTGCTATTTTAAATCCACTCAAAAAACTTTGTGCTATCGGGCTGTTTAAATTCTCTTAATTTTATGTTAATTATACAAGTATAATTAGTTTCGAATTAATGTCCAAAATATAACGTTGGTATGATAGTCCAATACAATATTATTTTTAGCAATGACTCTGAAAGACAGAAGATTTTTGGAACAGGAAAGGAGGCGTTTAACACGCTATCAGCATCAGCACAGAGGATTAAGTTTTATTAAGTTATGGTTACCCCCCACTTCTGATAAAGATGCGAATATAATAGGGCGTGATGGTCATGTCTATAAAGGAAAAATTCCTAGAGTGCCCTTAGATCAGTTACCACCAGAGGTAGATCCAGAAACTGTTGATGAAGGAGAGCTTTATGAGGTATATAGATTAATAAATTTTGTTACGAGAACTGTTTTGAAAAGCATACACACTCTCAAAAATAAAACTCTCACTTTTGACGATTCAGTAATCCTTGAGCAGTATTTCGTCAGTTTTGAGATCATTTCATCCCGAAATCACACGATTTTTGACGAAACGCGAACTCTCAAATATATCGAAAATATTTCTTCAACTCGGAACTTCATCGCAGTACATTGCGGGGGATTGTTCCAGTCTCCTGTTTCCTCAGCTTGAAAGGTGGTCAGGGAACTGAACTCCCGAGCTCGGAAAGATTGGTCTTTCGGGAATCCGAATAATGAATGCCAATATATACTGGTGAGCATTTGAAAAAGAAAGTTATTTCTGACGAAATTCGTTTCCTTGAGGAAGTGATGATAGTTATTTACTCACTTTGACGAATTGTTTGCTCAAAACATATATCAGGAAACGGCTTGGTCGAAAATGAAAAAGTTTCGTATCGATTTTTTATCGTTTTATGAGTATCCATTTTTACAGTGCAGAGATGTAGCATATTGTTAGAACTAATACCTAATATATAATTTATAATACAGTTATGTTGCCGAATAAGAAGTTTTCATTCATTTTCTTACAATGTGTTCCATTAAATAAAGCTACTTTGATTTTGCGCCAGATACAAAGAAAACCAATGTGAACCAAACATGTATTTTAAAAAAGTCTGAATCAAATTACATATTTGCACTACTAGTCATTAAAATTGCTACACCAGGAAGGCGTCACACCACGAGCGTGAAATTTGCAGGGCGAATAAAGTATGTTGTGGTAAGCAAATGATTAGCTTATCAGCGCATTCATGCAAAGCTGGCGGTGGTAGTGACGCCTACAATGTGTAAAAAAGAAGAGATTTAACAGTAAGTTTCTCATACAGAAACTGAATTTGAGCGTTGTTCTTGGGTAAAAAAGTTTTTGTTATGCCTCGTGTAAGAAGGAGAAATGCTTACCAGCACTTGTCTGCGTTTGATCGAGGTCGAATTGTGGCCTAACGGGATTGCGGTTTATCATTGCTATACGTATTGCTGCTCGCGTTGGTCGAGATCCCATGACTGTTAGCAGAATATGGATCGATGGGTTCATGACGGTCAAATGGAACGCCGTGATGGATCTCAGCTACCCACCATCACTGACAGCTGAGAAGACAGACATGTTATCCTCATGGCCTTGAAGAATCGTACTGCTACGTCACGAATTCTGAGTCAACAAATGGGGTCATTTGCAAGACAACAAGTGTCTGCACGAACAGTTCGACGACGTTTGCAGCAGCATGGACTGTCAGGACGGCGACAATGGCTTCGGTTACATTTGACGCTGCATCACAGGCAGGAGAGCTTCCAATGGTGTGATCAACGACGAACCTGGACACAGGAATGGCAAATTTTAGCTCATCAACTGAAATATGAGCCAATGTCTGTCCCAAATGCGAATGCCTTAGACGGAAATAAATTGTTGATGATATCATAAGATAAAACAATCAAGCATTTAAATTTTAAATTGCTTTTGTTTAAAATTTTGTTTAATGTTGAGGAACATCCTAAGTAAAGTAGATACTGTAAAATCTTGTGATTTTCTACGATATCTTTTGAATTAACAATGCAATAAATTATATCCTCACCGTAAGTGCAATCGTTTAGTTCTATATTTCTGTTGTATTTATTCAACCAGCCTAAGTTGACGGAAAGCTTAGCGGTGGAATTTACATTTTAAAACTAGTTCAGCCAGCGCTTTGAAAATTTCATTTCTAATAGTTATTTTTATTATAACTATTTTAGCTTGTAAGATTATTTTATTTATGTATAATAAAATAATCTTAGACGCGAAAATATTCTAAACCAAAAATTAGTGTTAGATCGTTATTTACCTTTTAGTTTAAAAATAATTCTAATTGAAATAAATCGAATGAAAATAGATATTTTTTATATTTGCTTTCCCTTTAAAATAGTTGGGCGAAAAAATTTCAATCAGAATTTGGAAAGACGGTGAAAACAAGCCAAGTAAGATGTTTATCTCCTCTCTTCAGATTTTCCGTTTCTCTTTCTGTGTAACACTCTTCCTGATCTTTCTCTAAAACACAAGAATAACTCAGTCTGTGCCACTTGACTCTCACTTTACCCACGTCAACTTCTGATGGTAGTGCAGTTTTTTAAAAATAGATTTGCTTCAAGGCGTTTACGTTAATATTATTATTAAAAAATGTCAAAGAATTGCACATTAGGAATGAGTTTTTAAATTTATGAAATAGTTTCTTTCAGTAATCTTTAATCAATAATGTAAATAAAGTCTTTATCAACATAATGTTAATGAATGTTAAGGTATTGGGGCTACTATCAAAATTTTCACTGAAATTCATGAACCAACTTATCAAAATCAATGAACTTTTCAAATTACAAATTATATAATTCATACATCACTGAGTTTGAAGGCCTGTATAAATTTTCGTAACGGTCTCTTTGTCCGATATTTTTCACATTCTTTTACTACTATTGGATTCTATTTAAAAAGTAAATGTTCTATAACATCTAACTTGCGTATCTTAATACTTAATTTCATTTAAGCGCACATCAATTTTTAAAGGTAACTGTATACCTTCAACTCGAGAGGAGAAAGACAGCTGAAATCAGCTGGTGTATGTGTGTGTGTGCTTATTATCATGCTGAATGAATTTTCGGACCAGATTTGATTGAGTACTGAAAACGACACCATTGCGTCGTGTAATCACATAATGCAGCAGCGAACACCATATGCTATTTAGTTGTAATAAATAATTCCTAGTCTCAACATGTAATCGGACTTGCGAAACCCCCCTTCCCCAGTTATATGGGTTTTAAGACAGAAAAGTGTAGGTAATAAACTTACTACACATAAGCCTGCTTCTTTTTTGCCATAAGAACTAAGTATTACTAAGTACGGGTTTCTCTTGGAATATAAAAACTACGCCAATGAATAATAGCCCCTTTTTTTAAAGGTAATTAACAAAATATAATTTATTACTTACATTAGCCTGTTTTAAAAATACTTTATGTTTTACTGTGTAGTATATTTGTTAGATTAATGCTTATCAGGAATTGTCATAAAATAATTATTTTTCTTAGGAAATCAGAGATATGAAATATCTGGATATACCTATTCAAGAGCCATTGGGACCCACTCGCCGTATTGGCGGAGAATACACAAAAGCAAAACGATTAACACTTGCACCAGTTGAATTTCAGTATCGTAAAGCCATAGAAGAAACACCAATTATTGGTGCTGATGTAAAAATGTATCATGGCCCAATCTTCAAATCGCAGCTAATTTCTGAAATGGATCTTGATCATCGAGAATCAATGAAATTGAACAGGAGTGACAAAGATTTCGTTGAACCAACACTTGTAACTCTTCATGTGGATGGAAGAGCCATCAACCCTTTTCAAGAAATAATGGTTATTGGTGCTGATGGAAAGTTACATAGTGGCTCTACTTCCAAATCAGAACCGATTTCTGATTTGGATCATAAAGCACCAGTTCATTCGGACAAGAGTCACATAGAACCAAAAACAGATGAAGATACTGAAGATATGAAAGAAGCAGATGTAGAAGATAAGTCTGAAGTCGAAACTGAAGATAAAGCAGAAACAGATGGGAAATCAGAAGTGGCAGACACAGAAAAGTCTGTTTCCGAGGAACTATCCGAAGAACCAGAAGAGGAAGCTCTAATTATAGACACATTTTCTGTTTTATAGACAATAGAAAATCTAAGACAGGAATTTATCTAAATTCAGAAAGCTAAACATTTCAAGTCCAATTTTTTGTACTTGAATTAGTCAATTTTCTCTTATATGAAACGTGAACAAAAAGAAATATAACAGATTAAAAAGATTAATTAATTACTGAACTTCTTATTTAGTACATATTATATTAGATTGATTGCGATCCTTAATCATATTTAGAGTTAGTGTCGTACTTTCGGTGAGATTTAAACTAGTATCCCTCATTTTATTTTCCTGTTTTAAAACTTTAAACTTCACTCTAACGCAACTAATCCTTGTTTCGAAGTGGATCATAATGTTTGTAGAATGAGCATAAAAAAGTTACTTTTTCATCGTAGCTAATTTCGGTATAAAGCTAATTTATCTTTCAGTGCTCATTATTTATATAAAGCTTATTTATTTTTCAAAGATCATAATTTATTTATCGCTTACTTATTTTTCAAAGACTTTATGAAATATTTTTTGATGTTTTAAGCAATAATAAACTATTTTGCATTGCGAAATAAGAAGATACTTAAATCAGAAGAAGTATTTACATACTTTACCATTTTTCTTCATCATAATATCTGATGTATCCACGCAGTTTTGAAGGATAACAACTAATTTATTAATCAGTTCAGTACAATAGTTTAGTAAGTACTCAACGACTAGTGAACACAAAGAGAACACTGGGAAACACGTTTTTTGTTACAAATACTTCATCTTACCTAATTTAGGTAGGGAAACTCAAACCTAAAATTAGTTTTGCTCCTAAAATGGCAGATTTTCTTTCTGAAATGATATTTTTAGTCTATTTTTTGACAAAATGAACAAGTTAAAGAAGCGATATGTATAACATGAGGTCGTAAAAATTTTGCGACATGCTTCTAGAGGAGTTACGGCTCTTCAGGACTAAAATTGTATAGTAACCTGTACTTGGAAATGTCGCCTTACGCGGCTAGGGTTGTTTTCCTATTATGATCTGTTCAGAAGCACATGAAAAAGTAGTTTATAACAGAGAAGAGCCCAGAGGGTCGAATGGTAACTTTTCGAGGCATGGATTTTTATGCAAATTTGATGGGTTTTTATGCAAAATTCTATGCAAATTTGGTGATGTGCTCTAACATTCTTAAAAATTTGTCGCAGCGTTTATGCGATTCCCTGTTATACGTGACATTTTTTAACTTGTATGCTTCGAAAAAAAATAGACTAAAATTGCCATTAAAAATGTAGCATAACGATAGAAACTAATTGCATAATTGAAATCGACTACACGTCAATATCTAAGAGATTTGTTAAAATCTCATACAAAAGAAAATACAAAACAAAAATTGTTCTTGAATGTCATTTTTACTATGAGTAATTAGGTAACATTAACTAGTCAAGTCTAATTTTATTCTGAAATAGCAGAACCACGCTTTATTCTGACAAGAAAAATGAATAAAAAAAAAAGAGATTTCTTCTTGTTTTCTAAGTAGTTCAAGTAGTAGTGATATTTATGGTTAAACTAACTGAAACTAAATTAGTTAAGAATAATTACTAAACTAAATTAATCAAGAATTTAATAATAATTAATATTAGTTATAATTACATTAAAAAAGTAAAAAAGCTAAATTAACTGAAGCTGTTATATTTAAAAACGATTTCATCTCCCTTTTTCTAATGATATACTTGCGATGATATATTTGCAAGAATATAGAAAAAAAAATCAAGAAGTAAAACAATATAATAACTTTTATTACCCAATATCTGAGGACGAGCTGAAATAGAATTGCAATTAATTATTAGTCTTGTCTTATAATAGATTAAAATTTGTAGAAAATCGTCAATGTTAAACATTTAATAAATTCAAATCTGCTTTAAATCTTTTAACTCTTCTAAACTCTTCTTAAATTCAGAATTTCTTGTTAATGACACCAGTAATATTGGTAAGTTAAAACTTGAAGCTTTGCTTAAAGAATAAATGAGCATGTTATTGAAAAGAAAATTTTATTCTTTTAATTAAGAAATATTCAAGCACATCTAGTTAGCGATCGAAAAAAATTTGAGAAATTCTAAACTAATTATATAAAAGATGAAGATATATAATACATATAAAATTGCTAACTAAAAATCATGCTGAGGTAAACCATAATTTTGTGATGAAATACTTTATAAAGGTGCTTAGGAAAATAAACTGTCTTAAAGGCCTGGTTTCTTAGGACAGGACGCCGTCAGCTGGAAATCAGCGCTAGCCTCTGATTGGTCCATTTGTGAGTTTGATAGTATACGTCATCGAACGCTCATCTGGAACTACAATTGCCGTCCAACTCAACTGCAGTTGGATTACAACGTGACGTTAACCACAGAAGCAATGGCGGACAACATCCA